GTGAATGCAAAGCTTCCTTGTTAAACCCTAACAGTTATTGCATCCTCTTAAATTTCATGGTGATCACATATTTCTCTCTTGTGAGGTTGACTTCGACAAGTTTATATCTCGTCTCAAAGTTACTGACAAAATCAGGTCATATTTGATTATGGTTCATTCTATTGTCTGGCTTCAACACTTCTAATAAATTGGCTTGTTCCAAGCTCTTCCCTACCATCTTAGTATCATTTTATTTTGATGGTCTCGAGTTCTAGCTTGCCAAGATAGTCAAGGCATGATCCTACTTTCATGACCTTGCCAGATTCAAGAACTGTATATATATAAAACCATTAACAGTACCACACACCCGTGCTCATATGACAGATGGTTCGAGCCCATCAAAGTGAATCTCAGCAAGAGTATAAAGGTGGGATAATATCATAATAGTACGAGGTTGAACGAGCCATCTTACAAAATACACAACCATCCCATTTATAGCAACGGAATTTACAGAGGTACTAGTACAACAGATTGCACTAAACTAATTGGAGAAAACATGTACAGAGAGGAGACGGAGAAATGAAGACATTTAACAAACAAATTGTCATTATTTAGCATATCCATTAACATTACAAACATCCCATTAAGATAACACGACAGTACTATAACTAAGATATACTGGAAATGAAATGTGTGTATGTCACATAAGCACGAGAATACTGCAATGCTAATTCAAAATAAGTTTGCATAATACGTTCTGTACTGAAACGATTTGATGGCCACTGAGCAGAAACAGATGACACGGCTCAAAAACCATGAATTTTGATATGCTCCTTTTTCACGATCCCAGCCTGAACAAGAAAGGATGAGACGTTCTTCCGCTGATCACCTTGAAGTTGAATAACCTGGCCTAGTTCTGGGTCCTGAACAACAGTACCATTGCAGCAAAACTCTTTCTTAAGGTCCTTGAGAATTTTATTATAGCTGAATTCCTTCTTCAAACCCTGTACGGTAGTCAGGCTTTTCCTACCATTTC